ATCTAGCTGTTTTCTTGCTTTCAAATTAGGAAAAGTCAATTGGGAAGCATCAAAAGCATCCCCATCCTTGGGTGAGGCTCTCCCTTTTCATTGCTCACTCCGGGGGGGCTACACAAGCACCAGAGCCCATGTCTTTCACTCAAGAATGAAGTCCTTGGGCTCCCATTCAGGCCCCAAGTGCTCTTATTTGACTTCGGTCTCTCAATGGGCTTGTAACTGATTTTCAAGCCTTTTGGAAATGCGGAAAGGCTGTGGGAGGGGGTGGAGCCTGGCAGGGGAAGAAGGCAAGAAGGAAGCGTGGACACAGCCAGCCTCGCTGGGGTCATAACTTCCCGAGCACCAGCCCCCCGGAAGCTTCCCTGACACCCGGCTGGCCTGGGAACTCCCACAGGCCCCTCTGCCTTGTTCAGGGCCCCACATTCTGCAGTTGGGCACATGCCTCCAGCTAATGATGAGGGCCTGTACTCATTCCCTCCAGGATTGCAATCCTAGCCCTCACCTTCCTGCAACCTCTCTAAGCTCAACCTTCCTTACCTGCAAAATGGGGGAGAAGAACACTATTTCTCAGGGTTATCGGATTAAATAAACACAAAAACATTTAGCATCCTCCCTGGCAAGGAAAGTGCTGGAGAAATAGGAGGGATTATTATGGTCTCCGTCAGCCCTACCAGGGTATTTATGTATTGTATAGGTCAAGCATTCATTAGGACCTGTCTACGTGAGTCGTGAGTCGCTGTGCTGGGGCCAGGAAGAGAACCATGAATAAGGTAGGTACCCTCACGGGTGTTCAGGCAATCACAGGGAGGCAGGAGCGAAGGGTAGGACAGAATGTTAGTAATAGTAATAATGTGTGGCGGTTAAGCGTCTGCCTTTGGCTTAGGTCATGATCCCGGGGTCCTGGGATCGAGCCCGGCATCAGGCTCCCTGCTCAGCAAGGAGTCTGAGCCTATGAGGTGGCTACTGGATTAGCCCCACGTCCCAGATGAGGTATCTGAGGTAACTGCCACACTCACAGCCAGGAAGCGGGAGGTCTGGGTGCCTCCAGGGGCTGTGCTTTGAGCCCCGATCACTACTACTTCTCTACAAGAAGTGTGGAGGCATGGTCCAGGGAATCCATAAAGGGGCCCCAAGCAAAGGTGCCTCTCAGCCCCTGAACACCTACTCCACACTCTCCCGTTCTGTGTCACACCTCTCAGATACTCCTCACTACACCTGTGGTGGTCTGTCTGTCCTCCCCTCCCCGCTAGGTCAATTCCCCCTCTCAGGGTCTGTCTTTAGCCTCCAGGCCCCCAGATCCTGGTACAAGGCCTGTTTTGAAAGTGTGTGCTGGATTTCGCGGCTGGGACAGGCTGCATCTTTGTATCTTGAGTGTGGGGTGGTAAGAGGTCCAAGGCAGTGGGAATAGGGGTGGAGCTCCCCAGGCCTGGGTGCTGACTGGCTGTGGGTGCGGGAGGTAGAATCTGGAGACTCACTGCCAGGTCTGGGCACTGGTGACCCCTTGGTGGTGGCCGTGCACACTGAGACGGGGAACACGGACAGAGGGGCAGGGTTAGGGCCCCAGCAGGCAGCGGACACAGGGATCAGAATTCAGTGGGGATCTGGGTCTGGCAAGCTGCTGGTGGCCCAGATTGGAGAGTGACGGGTTCAACAAAGTGGAGTTAAGCCACTGGAAGGGCTTATTCATTATCCGGAGGGCGTGGGCCCACCTAGAATCAGGCAGAGGCTCTGAAGAACATGACAGTCACCAGGAAGGACGGGCAGCAAGAATAATCCAGACTCGCAAGGACCTGGGAAGTCACAGCGGCTAGGGCCATTTAGCTTAGGGGCAGACAGCCCCAGAAGGGATCACGGCAATGCAAGGGTAAAACAAAGCCCCTGGGTGCTTGGGAGCCCTCAGTATTACCACGTTCCACCCCCAACAGGTAATATATGTTGAAACTTTCGGTGCTTAAAATTAGAACGCTTTGGTAACCTAAAAATTCCATCTCTTCCTGAATGACTCATTCCCCCATAAATTCAGAAATAAAGCTCCATTGTGCTTATATAGCTGGGTTATTCCAGTAGGAGTGACACCTTATATTGTTTTGAACTTGACCTTACCTGACATCACCCCTAGAATTTGCTCCCCTTTCTCAGACTAGACGACCGAGACCCTGCCCAGAAGGATCTGAAAGGCAGACCTTCTGGGGCCTCGTGCAGAACTGATTCCAAGCACCAGGACCAAATCAGTACATTGATTCATGATTCAGTCCACTGTGTGTGGGGCGGGGGCTTCGGGCCATGAACCCTCGCGGCAACGATCCAAGGAGTGAGCTCATATTCCCGTGCAGCTGGTTCGACAAGGTTGGAATTGTCCGGCTGTCCCCGACACAGAGGGGTGCTCAGCAAATATTTGCCAAGTGGACAAAAATTTCATCATCCTTGTTGTCCAGTGTGGCAAGCTCCTGCCTGGAACACACTGGGTGGGTAGGTCGGGCCCTGGCAGAGGCCGGGACTCCGCACCGAGTGGTTAATCATTCTGGGAGTTCAGACTTGCAAGAGGCAGGGCGGAACCCAGTCAACTCCTCAAAGAGCAACTTCCCAAACAGCAGCTCTGGGAATCCTAGGAAGGCAGGCTCAATTTCCGTTCTCCTGCTTCTGGGCCATTCTCTGAACCTGTCTAGACCCATCCGGGACCTTCCCAGGAGGAAAAGCCTCAGCTCCTATCCACCTGGGCTCCTGGCTGGGAGGAGGACCAGGGTGGGGGAAGAGAGCCTAGCCAAACCCCTTGTTTAAATCCCATAGCTCAGAGTGTCTCCTCCTCGTGGAGCTTGGAGACCTCGGCCATCTTCCCTGAGCTTGTCACTTGTGTTTCCAAACCCCAAGCGACCCTCCATTCCCCCCTTGATCCTGAAAATCTGGAAAACCACCAAGGCAAGACCCACTGGAGGGGCTTCCACCCTGCGATTTCTAACTCCAGTCGGGCAAGCTGCTGTCTCTCAAACTAGCTGTTTGCCCTCAGGCAAACCACGCAACCTCTCTGAGCTTGTTTTTTCACTTGTACAATGAGTCTGTTGCCACTTCATGGTCGGTCCTCCCTTCTCTCTGGAAATATGATAGCACTGGCCAGTTTCACTCCCCGGCTGGGAATCTTTTCAAGGGCAGGAACACAATTCTGGTATTTGCTGTCCCCTCACCCCCAACGCCGGAAGTACAGGAGGCACTCAACATGCTGAGTAAGTAACAGTCCTTTAAAAAAAATAACAGGAACACTTGATATTTACTCTGTGCCCGGCACCAAGCTCAACAGTTTCAGTGGATTCTTTCATGTAATCCCGGTAATGCTCGAGGGAAATGTGATTTCTCCCATTTTAAAGATGAAGAAACTGAGGCTCAGAGAGGCTCAGCAGTGTCCAAGGTCAGGCAGCCTTGTTCGGGGGAGCTGAGACAGGAGCCAGATCAGAACGCACACGCATTTGCAGACAAACCCCTCTCCCTGAAGAGGCAGGGACGCTTCCGGGAGAGAAAATGAGGCTTATCTGAGCATCAAAGGAAGGAGCCTTCTGAGCTGCTAAATGTAGCCTCCAGGGGAAGGGGCTTGTGATGGGGAGACAAGGATCACCTGCACACTGGGATCCCTGTCTACACTGTCCCTGACTGTTGTTATTTGCTCCTAGAGCGGTGGTTCTCAACAGAGAGTGATTTTTGCCACCCAGGGGATATTTGGTCATGCCTGGGGATGGTTCTGGTTGTCACAACTGGTTGGTTGCTCCTGGCATCTAGTGAGTAGAGGCCAGAAATGCTGCTAAACATCCCACAATGCACAGGACGGCCCCGGCAACAAAGAATGATCCCGCCCAAAAAAACCCTGAGCTAGAAAAATGGGACTGCAGGGGCACCTGGGTGGCTCAGTCGGTTAAGCATCCGACTCTTTGATCTCAGCCCAGGCCATGATCTCAGGGTCCAGAGATGGATCCATGTGTCGGGCTCCGAGCTCAGTGCAGTCTGCTTGTCGCTCTCCCTGCCCCCCTAGTGCACGCTCTCTCTCTAAAGTAAAATAAAATCTCTTTTAACAATGGGACTCTGCAATGAGCTCTTGGCTAAATCTTTGTCTGAAACCCCTCATTCTTCCCGTTTTACAGGTGAGGAAACAGACTCGGGGAGGTTGGGACTTAACTTTAGAGCTCTCACTCAGAAAACCAGGATTCTGTCCTGTCGGCTAGCTCCCTCACGGTCATGGACTTGGGAGGTGACTCGGCGTCAGAGGACATGTGATGGGGGTTGTAGGTACAAAGAAGAGTAAATTCAGAGTCAGGAAACCTGGGTCTGGTCCAGCTCTGTGGTAAATCCATCGCGTGCCCTTGGGTAAGTCACTGTCCAGTCTGGTTTTATTCTTCTAGGGTTCTCCCCAGTCCCAACCGAAGTTGCCTCTTTGCTACTGAGGGGTGCCTTGGGGGCTTGGAGATGGGGAGGTGTGACCCAACTTCAGGCAGGGGCCATCTGGGCCTTTCTCAGACACCATGTCCATCTCTGCACAAAGGATCAAACCCCCTGGATCCCCCTGCCCCCTGGTAGCTCCAGAGGCTAGTCTCCAAGTATGGGATCCCAGAGTGGCTGAAGTCCAATCTGGCTGAACTTAACCCCTCTCTTGAACATCCTGGCTGGGCTGGGACAGGCCTCCTCATGTGGTATAGCCTCCTACCGGTTTAGGCCGGTAGACTGTCTTGATATGAGATGCACTGGTGTGCACTGACCTGGGTGGGTCTTTGGGTCGCACTCTAGACATACCACAGCAAGATTCATCTTAAATAGCCTGGAAGCCAGAAGCGAGACCCCCAGCATTACAGGGTAGAGGACAGCTTGCTGGGGGTGCTCTGGTCGCAGGAATGGAAGGGCTTTGGGGCTCCTGCCCTGCTCAGAAGGCAGGGACAGGATCCCCAAGACCCTCAGGCTCCACGGAGCTCCCTTTGCTGGGCATGCTGGAACCACCAGCTCCTTAGGAACACCAGGCAGCCCCCCAGTTAGAAAGATTTAGCCCTTGGCTATTTTATTTCCTCAACAGTGAAACAGAAGGGAGGTGGGGCCCCAGCTCAGCATGTGGGGCAGCTGCCTTCCCCTGCGCCCACCACCACCTTCTCTCCTGCCTCCACTGGGAGCCCACAAGTCAACGGAACGCCTGGCCTCTGGAATGTCCCCTTATGTGCCACCTGACTCGCAGGAAGATACACACACTCGGTCAAAGCAGAGTCAGAACCACCAGGCCTCCACAGCTCCCTGTGTCCCGGCCAGCCTCAATGGGTCTTCCCGCGGCCCTCGGAGATGACATCCTCCGGCTGCGCGCGCATGTACCACTCCACCCAGGAGCCGTCATAGATGGCCACGTCGGGCTTGCCGCAGAGGTAGGCCCCCAGTGCCACATGGCAGGCTGTCACACCGGAGCCACACGTGGCCACCAGCGGCTGGGACAAGTCCACCTTCTTGTCCTGGAACAGACGATGGATCTCCTCAGGGCTCTTCTCCAGGCCCTCCTTGGTCAGGAAGTCCGTGAAGGGGATGTTCACCGTGCCGGGGATGTGGCCGGGTTCGATGCCTGCAGCAGGAGGGCAGGAAGGAGGGGACAAGTACAAGGGCGTATGAGATATGGCCGCTGCAGTGTGAGAGCCTCCCAGGCAGCCACGGCGCTGAACACTCTCTACATGCACCATCCCACGCAGTCCTCACAGCTAGGCAAGCCAGGGGCCACTTACACGTATCCCTATTTTACAGGGCATGCTGAGGTTCGGGACTGCACAAGGCCCTGCATCTAGCAAATTGCTGGCTGGGATTGGGACCTACAACTCGGACCGCACCAGAGTCTCACTCTGCCCCTGGCTTCCTTTCCGATCACCCATGTGCCCGGGGGGCAACAAAGATAAACAAGCCCTCTGCCTGGCTAGGACTCCGTGCACTTGCAGTAAAGGAACTGATCGGGCAGGGTGGACAGGCATCACTGAGCCATTACGAGGATAAGGGGTGTTACAAAGGCCCTACGGAATGTCATGAGACACATTATAGAAAGATATTAACAGTAATAATAATCCTTGACATTACTGAGCACTTACTTTGTGCCGGGCACTATTCTAAACACCTCCGCTGTATCTTCTCCTTTAATCCTCCCCAAACTCTACGGGACAGAAATGATCATCCTCCCCTTTACACAGATGAGGAGACTGAGGCACGCAAACTCAGTTGCCCAAGTCAGAGAGGCCCCAGAGCTGATGCTGCTCACCGCCAGGCCACGGGGGGCAGGGAAGCTTCTCTGAGAAGGCGCTGTGGGTGAGTAGGGGTCTGTCACGTAGAGAGGTCTGGGCAGCAGGGACCGAGAGCACCCCAGACTAGGGAAAGTGGGGGGTAATCGGAGGAGGCAGGAAATCACATGGTGTTTAGAGGGGTTAAAGGTCACTGGGCAAAAGTGCTGACATGGGAGAGCTTGAGGCCTAAGGGGAACTGCCTGGATTAAGACGTAGGGCTTCGACCTGACTACAAGGGGAAATCAGACTTCCATTTTCAAAGATCATTTCGATCATAGTACGAAGAACCTGGGCAAGGCTAGAGAGCCATTCATTAAGAGGGTCATGCCCCCCAAACGTAATCATTTTGCTTTCACCATCCCCTATGAGGCAGGCTCACTAATATTCCCATTTTCATGCCAAGGACTGAGATTTGCAACAGAATCAACCCTCACAGCCTGTGATTCAAAAAGCTCGGCCATTCAGACCCTAGGGTGGGGCTCTAGACTAGTGGCTTCTGCCTCAGTTTCCCCCTGCAGTGGAGTGACACTCCTCCAGGGAGCTGTTGACCCATATCGGTAACCATTGCCAGGATTTAGCATATAGACAGCGCTCCGAGTCCATGGGGAGGTGGGAGTGCATCCTGCATCCCCATGTAGGTGCAGAAGCGGCTCACTGGGAGACATCACATAGAGACCAACCCGGAGCAAGGAAGAAGAGCAAGCCCTCCCCACAGGTTGGTCACTGTCAGAGCAGGGCTGTCCCTGTGCCTTGAACCCCCACCAAGCAAAGCATGCTTCCCCCTACCCTGCCGGACCGATGTGACCCCTCATTGAGGGGCGCACTTGTCCAGGTCTCAGCCCGTGCAGTGGGGACAATGACAATGAGGTGATGTCCGCCACTGACCTCGAGGAAGCCTTTGCATGCGCTGGCTCAATCCACCTCCACAACAAGCCTGCTAGCGTGTCCTATCATCACCCACTTTATGGGTGAGCAAGCAGGGCTGAGGTAGCATTAAGCACCTCTGTGAAGAGCTATAACCACAGAAGCACCCATTAATTCTATCACCTCCCATTTCTTAGTGCACTTTATGTGTGCAGACACTGCGCTGAGCGTTTCCTCCATTCGTTCTCATTTGACATTTGACCCTCACTGCGTCCCGTAGGCTCTGTTTCTGCTTATTTCACACAATGCAGAAGCTGCAGTTCCGAGATTAGGTTAGGTGATCTGCCAAGTGGCTCTCTGCCCTATGTTGCTCTCCCTCCCTCCCCCAAGGGCTGAGCTGAACGACCTCACGGGTTCAAGGTGGCATCCTTATCAGGTTGAACCACATAAAATCGCCACCTATGTAGGTTCAAAAAATAGCTGGCTATCAGTGGTTTCCTATGGTTTGACCTAATGGCAACACTGCTCTGCACAGTTCCATGTGGCAGGGTCCTTCTCGATTCCCCAAATCTCTCTGGGACATTGACTCCATGCCAGCTATTGAGTGAGTCTTCAGGATGCACTGGACGCATGGCTGGTCCTTGCCGTTGGCCATCCGAAACAGTGCTAGGACTGGGTAGCCCAAACTGCTCTGTAAGCCCAGAACAGAAGCCCCGGCCCTGATTCAGGGGCATGGGGGATGCAATTCAGGGACAGACTCCTAGAGGAAGTGGCAAGTTCCTTGCATCCTCCCCAAAGAAGGCACGAAGAGAAAAGCCTGGGTAATTACTGGTTGCTCACTGCAGTTAAATGGACTGCCTCACTTCCCTGCTGGGCTGCCTCCTGACCTCGAGCAAGGTAGCCATCCTGAGACCCCATTTCCTCCTCTGTCCAGTGACAGCACCGACCTTTCTGGATCATTGAAAGGCGCACACCAACGTGGCCATTGACCAACCTGTTTGTGGGGACCCCTGCCCACCTGATCCAGGGCTTTCCTGCAGTCTCCTTGCCTGGGGGAGCCCAGCTCATAGGCAGAAGGCTCCGCCCCCCACTCAAGCCAGCAACCACCTCTATTAAGTTTCTCTCCAACCTGGGGCAGCAATCCCTCTCTCTCTTTCGTGCCCCCTCCATTCTGCCCCTGCAAGCCTTGGTCCCTCCAGGGGACGTTCCAGTCACTCCCCCGCCCCAGACTCCTCCCCCTCCTGTCTGCCTCCATCACGAGCTGGGATGGTGTACACCGAGCCCCTTGGGTTTTTCCCAAACTGGGCCTTCCTGCCATCCCTCCAATTCCTCAGAGACCCCCCTACATCCACAGAATCGGGGTGGGGCTGTTTGGCTTCTTCCCTTTATGCAGGGCGCCTTGGGTTCCCAAGGAGTTTCGGGTAGTCACTGCCCCGAGCACGGGTGGGGGTGGGGGTGGGGATGGGGCAAGTATTATTGTCCACTCTCTAGGAATAAAGCCAGTGAAGCTTAGGGAGGGAGGCAACTAGAACCCAAATCCCAGGCCCCCATGCGGTGTCCTTTAAAGGCAAGGACAAGGCAGAGCTCAGGGTGCACGAGCGCCCGCGCCCCAGCTGACCGCCCACCCCTTTGCGCCCATGTTTGTTACCGTCTCGGGGCTCGGGCTCGGTGCCCCGGAACCGGCCGGCGGCGCGGGCGTCCACCACCTGGAAGCGCCGGGATTCGAGGTTCTCCTTGATGTCCTCGTAGGTCTTGATGAAGGTGGGGTCGAGCGCGGCGCGCAACTCCGCGGGCTCCGGGCGGCTTTTGCCCGGGCTCAGCGGGAGGCCCAGGCGCAGCCAGTGGCGGAGGCCGCCGTCGAGCAGCGACACCGCCCGGTGGCCGAAGGCGCGGAACATCCACCAGACGCGCGGCGCCGCGTAGAGGCCCTGGTCGCTGGCGTCGTAGACCACGACGTGGGTGGCGGCGCCCACGCCCAGGCGGCCCGCGTACTCGGCGAACTGCGCGGCGCTGGGCAGCATGTGGTCGTAGGGCGACGTGCGGTCGCTGCACTGGTCGATGTCAAAGAAGGCGGCGCCGGGGATGTGGCGCTCCTCGAACTCGCGGCGCGCGTCGCGGCCCAGCTTGGGCAAGTACCAGGAGGCATCGAGCAGCTGCAGGGGCTGCCCCGCGCTCGGGGCCCGCAGTGCCTTGGCCACCCACTGCGCCGACACGAGCGCGCGGAAGAGCTGCTGTGGGGCCATGGTGGCGGCGGTGGCGACACTGGGGCTGCAGGCCTGGGCGACAGGGAGGATGTCAGTAGGAATCGAGGAAGAGGCCGGCCAGGTGGCGGCAACCGCCTGCACCACTGGGGCTGGCCCTAGCCGGCAGGGGCGGTGGAACCCTGGGAGGGCAGAGTCCAGGAAGCACAGAAAAGCGGCGGTGGCGAACCCAAGGGCAGACTTCGGTCACCGGGGCCTCTCTTCCTCTCCCCTCCCCAGGACATACACAGCGCAGAGCAACGGAATGACCCTGACCCCTTTACTGCGGCTGGCTGGGGGGTGGGCTGGGGACGGGGCTCAAGGCGGCAGGCAGGTAGGGGCCAAAATTCTAGCCCTTCCACAAGATGCAGCTCTGCTTCACTTGCCACCCACCAAGGTCCCTGGTGGAATTCATTCACTCATTCATTCATCAAACGTTTACACAAGCAGCCTCATGGGACTAGCAGCTGGGATTTACGGACTCCTGTGCGCCATTCAATCTCACAATACCTTAGAATACTGCAGGACACGGAGTAGGCTCTCAATTAATTTGTGGAACAACTGGCCTCAAGAAGGTTGGTAATACTCTGTTTCACAGAGCGCGACACTGAGGGTCATGTAAGTGCACTGAATTGGCCAAGGTCAGCGGCTAAAGTGGTGGTGCCAGGCTTCACACTGGGCAGCCTGACCCCGGAATCCAGACGCTGGTGGGCAAGCACTGTGCAGGCTCTGGGGGCCCAGCAAGGTCAGATTTTGCCCCTTGAGCCTGAACTTTGTCTCTGAACCTTCATGCAGCAGGTGCAAGAGTGACTGTGCCTCACCCCCACCCCTCCGCTCCCCTGGGGGCCAGCAGCTGAGAGTACTCCAGCCCATGACATGCCAGGTCACAGCCTTCCAGGGTCAGGATATTCTGAACATGTCGAGCCCCTGTACAAACAGCCCCTGGTCCGTTAGATGCCTTCCTGCAGGTCAGAGAAAGGTGCCCCTTCTGCCAGGGCACGTGACTGGGTGAGTGGAGCGTGAGCTGCAGGTCGGCCCCCCTTCCCCCTTCATCAGGGCACAACCTGACCATCCATACCCGGCAGACCTGCCTCGGAGGGGAAGGGGTGGGTAGAGAACAGGTGCTTTGTGGGCCAGGCCACAGGCTAAGCACCGCAGCCTTTAATATTGGACCTATGAAGACGCCTGTTTTCTGCATGAGGCGACTAGAGATGTGAGTGCCTTGCCCTTGCTCACACAGCTGGTCAGGGTGGCCTTGGGATCTGAAGCCTGAGTTCAGCTCCTGAGGCTGGATTTCTTCCCCAGCCGCGGGTCACTGATGACCAGGGCCTAACGAGTCTACAGTGTGACACCTTGTGCCCCGGACCCTCCCAGACTCATCGCAGTCTGGCTTTTAGGAAGTCACTCTACCCCACGGCCAGGCCCTGTGCTGGACGCTGAAAAACTCTTGATTTTGCCAGGCCCTGGGGGTAAAGACAGGCCACAGGCCTGCTCAAAGGACAGTATAATTGAGGAAAGTCTGGAGTTCAGTGTGAACATGGAGGGGCCACTACCTTAGCCTAGGGTGGGAGCAGAAGAGGTGGGAAATCTTCCTGGAGGACCTTTTCAGAGGACCCCGGAAACTACAGCTTGACTTTTAGGATAAGGAGGCTGCCAAGGGGGCTTTGGCTAACGGGTGATTCCAGTGTCTGTGGGTTACACCACAGCTGGATAATGTTGGGGGATGCTGCAGGTCCCTTCTTGTGGAACCCATCTGTGAACCACAGTGGCTCCCCCCCTCCCATTCTTGGAGCTCCTGGTTTTTTTCCCCCGAGGATTCATTTAGAGTAGAAAGAAACCCGGATTGTGAGTCAGAGCCCCAGCCTCAAGTCAGTGTGAATCACTCTGCTCCTTAACTAGCTGTCTGAGGGCAGGCATGGTGGGATCCCTGGCCATCTTCACTTCTTATATTGGAGCGTCCAACCTTCAGCTCTTACAGGTGGAGATTAAATAATGAATATCGAGGGGCCATCATAAGGCACTGCACATGGCTGGTTTTAATAATTACTAAAAACAGCTTAATAAAAATCCCATTATTTCTGAGAAGTTATTCTCACAGGTGGACTTTCAACAATAGCAACACATCTAGAATCTTGGGTGGGACTTCAGAGGTCTGAGGTCATCCTGCCCCACCCACTCCCACTTGATTGGCAGTTGTCACATAGGACTGAAGGAAGCAGAGGAGGGTCTGGGGGAGCAGGCTGTGTGTCACTGAAGGGCTCAGACCGGGCCGTTGGGTGCTGGCCAAGCCTGGCCCGCTACAGGTGCGGGTGCTCTGGGAGTGAAGGACTCCAGGTCACAGGGGACAGCCCCAGGCCCATCTCAAGGACTTGCCCCAACCTACTCCTTCCTGGTACCCCCTCCGCACCTCAGGGCAAAGCACAAAGTTTAGAAGATTCTCTAGGAAAATGCTTGTCAAAGTGTGCATTTTTCCACTTCCAGTGAGAATATAATTATTTCGGAGTAAAAAGAATTTTTAAAAGAGGGATGAGAAAAGCATTCCAGACATATGTCACAGACACATGCATGCAAAAAGCTGACCAGGAGCAGGGGTGGCCCACCAGCTTGGAGGAACGAGTTGTTCCATTTTCAGGAATTATGTGATGTGGTTGTGAAACACAGCCATTGTTAAAAAATGAAATTATACAAACTTACAATTAAATAGGTTAATTAAAAACAAAGGTCTGGGGCGCCTGGGTGGCTAAGTCGGTTAAAAACAAAAGCATTTTTTTTTTTAAAGTATGAAGCTTTGGGGGTGAGCCAGGTAAACAAAGGCAGCAGGCAGGCCACGTGGGCTTCAGATCTGAGATTAACAACTGAGGGGTCTCAACCCCCCTGCGAGCCCCTGGGGTAACTCGCTCGGCCTGTCTCTCTGGTCTTTAAATAAGTTTCCGGCCTACTCCGCAGGGTTGTTGTGGGAAGTCGGTAAAACCCTAGGAGCAAAGTGCTCACCGAGCAGGCCTTGGCCAATGCCAGTTTCGTTTCACTCCAGCAAGTTCTTTGCCAGTTTCTTCTCTTGGAAACTCTGGGTCACTCGGCCTTGCCTCCCCGGCCTCTCTGTGGGGCTTTATTAGTCCTCCCCCCTCCCTCTTACCCTCCCGGGTGGCACCAGGTGACCCCACCCCCGCCCCCAGCTCCCCACCCGCCGCTCACGCCGAGGCCACGGTGCAGGCCGCCCCAAGCGGCTGCGGACAGCCATGCTTAGGGCGAACCCAGGCGCGAGCCTTCCCTGCTAGTCTGCAGCCCCCTACTCCGCTCAGACCCCGCGGGGGAGCCCCGCGCCGCGCACCCCAACGATCGACCTCCCCCTAAAGAAAGGCAAGCGCGATGCCGCAGCAGTTACCCGGGTCTCGGGCTCCGGGCTTCCGGGATCGGTCATGGCCCCTGCGCAAGGCGCCCCCTCCCCGCGCCCGAAGCCGTCCCCTCCTCCCGCCACCAACCTGCGGCCGGCCAAAGGGAGGAGACTCGGGCACAGCCCACCGCCGCGGCCACTTGGAGCCGCCGCTGCCCGCGCCTTCCACTCGCTGGGCCAGGGGGACACGCGCGCCGCCGCGCCCCTGCCCCGCGCCTCGCTGCGTCGCCCCGCAAGCCCCTGGAGGGTCCGCGGGGCCCGAGGGGCGCGCCGCGCTGGGGGGGCGGCCGGGGCGGGCGCGGCGGGCGGCGCGGGGCGGGGGCGCGGCGGGGCGGCGCGCCGTACCCCCCTCCGGCGCTGGCGCAATGGTGCGGGCCGGCCGGGGAGGTGTGGGCTCGGGGTTTGAACGCGCCAACTTCTCCAGCGGTCGGGGGCGAGCGCCGGGGCGGCGGCGAGGGCGAGTGAGTGCGGCCGGGTGGGGCGGCGGCCAGGCGCCCGGGCCGCTCGGGATTGGGCCGCCGGTCTGGCCCCTGCGACCCAAGGGAGGGTCCCCCTGGCGAGAGCGCGGCCGGGTGCCCAGCAGGGGCAGAGGGCACCGAGTCGGGGCTGGGCGCGGGCCTTCTGGAGGCGGGCGAGCCCTACCTGGCCGCTGAGATTGGCCGCGGGCGGGCTCGCCGGAGGCGCGGGCGAGGGCGTGTGCGGGCCCCAGCGACCCCTCCCCCAGGCGCCCACTCCCCTACCCCCCCAGCCAAGGGGGGCTAAGCTCCACAGGTTCCCTCCTCCTCCCCCGTCCTGGGCATCTCTTCGCCGCTCTTTTCTGGCAGGATCCCGAGGACGAGCACTGTAGAGCTCCCGGGGCCGGGCGCCCTCCCCGCCGGCTCCCCCTTCTGGGGCCCTCGGAGGCTCTCGCCCCGCCCCCGTCTGCGCGGGGGGCCCCGGGGAGGGGCGGGGCGGCCTTTCCTCCCGGGAATGGGCAAAGCTTTCCCGCAGGCTGCCCCGGCGCCGCAGGGTTGCTGGGCTGCCGCGAACAAGCCACCCTGAGGGGGGTGCGGTGGGAAAAAAGCTCCTCCCAGATCCCGCCCCGCGGCACACGCAGACCTCATGCCGCTCTCTTTCCTGGTTTCCACCCGCGCCAGGTGATGCGCAGAGCTGAAACCATGGTTCATCAGGTGCTCTACCGGGCGCTGGTCTCCACCAAGTGGCTGGCGGAGTCGGTTCGGGCTGGCAAGCTGGGGCCAGGCCTGCGGGTGCTGGACGCGTCCTGGTACTCGCCGGGCACCCGCGAGGCCCGCAAGGAGTACCTAGAGCGGCATGTGCCCGGAGCCTCCTTCTTTGACATAGAGGAGTGCCGCAACACGGCGTCGCCCTACGAGATGATGCTGCCCAGCGAGGCCCACTTCGCCGACTACGTGGGCCGCCTGGGCATCAGCAACCAGACGCACGTGGTGGTGTACGACGGGGACAACCTGGGCTGCTTCTATGCGCCCCGGGTCTGGTGGATGTTCCGTGTGTTTGGCCACCGCACCGTGTCAGTGCTCAATGGCGGCTTCCGGAACTGGCTGAAGGAGGGCCACCCGGTGACGTCTGAGCCCTCACGCCCAGAGCCGGCCGTCTTCAAAGCCACACTGGACCGCTCCCTGCTCAAGACCTACGAGCAGGTGCTGGAGAACCTCGAGTCTAAGAGGTTCCAGCTGGTGGATTCACGGTCCCAAGGACGGTACCTGGGCACTGAGCCAGAGCCAGATGCAGTAGGTAGGTGTCCTGGTGGGTGGGTGGTCCCCGGGGAGTAATGCCCCATGGAATGATGGAGAGTAAGGATGTCTGGGACCCTCTCCAGGTGGTGCCCTCAGTCCCCCCCCCCCATAGGTAGGTCCCGGTCTGCATCTGTGAAATGGGAGAACAGACCCAAAGCTAAAAGCTATTTCAGCTCTGACTCATGAGGACCTACGTATGTGTTCCCATAGCCGCGTGCTAACAAGCAACCTAGCATCCATATGAGGTGGCATCAGCAGAGGTGACTGGTGACATCTCCACCCACATCCATTGCCCCGGCACGACTCCCCGACATGGCCAAAGGTGTGTCCACGAGCCCACGCATGCATCTTTGTACAGAGGTTCTCAAGGACGCCTAGCTTCCCAGGGCCCCCCTAGTTCCCCAGAAACCCACAGAGACATCAACAATGTCCTGCCCGCAGCACCCCTTCCCTCCTTCCAGCTCCCCGGGCCCCCTGACCTTTCCAAACAGCTGCAGCCTGTTTGCAGAGCTATAAAATAGCTGCCATTTCATGCTAAGCACTCGACACTGCATTATCTCATCCAAGAAGGCTTAATATCCCCATTTTAGAGAGGAGGAAACAAAGATGTGAGGACATTAAGTTACTTGCTCAGTTAAGTGGCCGAGTCGAGATTTAACCCAGTGCTGGCTAGTTTCAAACCGGATGGCTCGTCCTCTCCTGCAGACAAAGGGGAGGCCAGGAGGGTTCCACATTGCTGGGGGTGGGGGGGGGGAGTCTCAGGAGAGGAAGTGCTGAGTTCTAGAACCTCCTAACAGAGAACCTTAGAAGTCTCACCATCCCCCTGGCTGGGTTTCCTGCCTGGGCACCTCTCGTGGCCGGGACCTCACTGCTTTGGGGGCCTCTCCAGGCTGGCCTGAGCCCTCAGAGTGGCCGACACCTCCTGGCTCTGAGCTCTGTCCTCGGGGCAGGGTCTGCAGAACCTAAGTCCTGTGCAACATTTTTCCTAATTTGTTGAAAAATGGCTCTTCCTTTCTGTGCCTCTGAGGGAAAGAACTCTGTGAAAACTGTTTTGAACACTCTTGAGCTGGAGGTCCTGAGAGGTCACCTCATCGGACAGAAGGGAGACTGAGGCACACAGAGGAAGGGTCAGGTCCAGGCCCTATGGCTAGTTAGTGGCAGAACCATGGCTCTCTCCAGGCCCCATGTTTTTCCTGCCCACCTTGCTCTCTGGAGGTCTGGGGATGAAGATTCAGAGACTTAAGGCACGGACCTCCTGCAGCCCCCTCCTGGCCTTTGTCCAAGATGCCTTCTCTACTTGGGACTTAACCCTGCCATCGGGGGAGGAATGGTAGGATTGTTTCCCTAGCTGCCTCTCGGCTTGCCCTGAGCAAACTGGAAATAAGCGAAGAGATGTCAGATCCCATCTCCTCACCCCTGTTTTAGGATGAGGGCACTGAGGCTTCGAGAGGGGGTCCCTCCCCATCGCCCTGCTCCCTACTTCCTCCCACCTCCTCCAGATCCTGGGGAGCATGGATCCTTCCTCCTTCCTGTGAGGTCAGCCCCTCCTTTGTGGCGGGACCTCAATCCAATCTCTTGGCCCCTCTGGGTTCCCTTATTGAAAAATGAGAAGAGGAATGCCAAGCCTTGCCCACCTGGCTGTGTACTTATTTAAATGCATTAGTGGCTGGAAGGGTATTTTGAGAAACGTAAGGAACCTGCAAAGGGCAGGGCCATCTAGAAAGCATGGGCGTGGCACTTCCTTCCCTCATTCACTAAAAGGCTTTGCTGACCTCCAGTTGGGGGCACAAAGGCGCATGGGGCTTGCTGACTTCATGGTCCCCAGCTTGGCGTGGGCTCAGCGGTCCAGATGTAACACCCAGGGGTGGTGTGGATGGCAAAACGCTGGAAGGAGCGCCCTGGTGGAGGAGCTGGGAGTGGGCCTTGGACTCCCAATAGCTGCTTCCTGCTGACATGAGGCGAACACCTTCCCTGGCCCCAGCTTTGTGTCCCCAGTGCCTTTGGTCCTGTTTGTAAGGGGCACAAGGTGAGAGGCCAACCTGAGCTTGCATCCTACCCTGGGCAGCCTCGGGCAGACCCTTTCCTCCTTAATGAAAGGAACGTGCTCACCTTACAGAGCGCTGGGGGAAGCCAGCCAAGGAGGTGGGGAGGTGGCAGTGGATCCAGCCAGTGTCTTTATAAACCCTATTCTCTTTTCCTCGTGCCTTGAGGGCAGTGAGGGTGATGAGGGCAGAGATTGACCCCCTAATGGGCACTTTTATCCGCAGAATGTTTTGGGTTTTTTTAAAGATTTTATTTATTTATTTGAGAGAGAGACAGAGAGAGAGCATGAAAGGGGGGAGGGTCAGAGGGAGAAGCAGACTCCCTGCCGAGCAGGGAGCCCAATGCGGGACTCGATCCAGGGACTCCAGGATCATGACCTGAGCCGGAGGCAGTCGCCCAACCAACTGAGCCACCCAGGCGCCCTCCGCAGAATGTTTTATGCGTGTTCTCTCCTTGATACCCACAGCAACCCTGTGCAGGGTGGAAGGTGGGAGTTAGGACTGACCCCACTTTGCAGGTAGGAAAAGGGAGAAGAGGATTCTCTAAGGAGGCAGAGTGGCCAGGATTTGACCCCAGTCAGCAGGCCTCAAAGTGGGGCCGTTTCCCAAGGCCACTGCTGTGTAAGCAAACACAGGGCCTGGGGGGGAAAGGTCACAGCTTCTCAGTGTAGTGTTGCTTCATGGGATCCTGTGGCCCCCCTCTGCCTAGATCTCTCCCTCCCTGGGGCTGGGGGCTGGTGTAGGATGGGGGCAGGAAGAGTGCTGAGCTGCCTCCCAGTGGCCAGGATTGGGAGCTGCCCATTGGGGCCGCCTGCGCTGCTTTGCTTTGTGTCTTTAGGAGGAAAGCAAGAAAGAGCCAAACAGGTTTTCCTGGCCTGGAAAACCCACATGTGTCAGTGGCCTGAGAGACATTAATTCACCCCCCTGACTGGTGATAGTTCATAGCCTCCTCAGGAGCTGGGAGCTTCCTGGGGTAATCTGAACCCGGCCCCCAGATGCAGAGGGCAGGAAAGACCCAAGAAAGACTACCCCAGGTCGGGTGGTAGCAGGTTTAATAAGGGAACTTACTTACAAGGCTTGTCTTGGGTGGCTGGCCGCAAGACGAGATTTCCACACCCGCCTGCCAGATCTTGAAAGCTTATACAGAGGCCTTAACTGGATTCAGTCCCCATACACGCTGTCCAGCTGGTCTCAACCCCACATCACCATCTCAAGGCCATGTCCTTGGGGCAGCCTCTGGGAGCGGGGAAGGCAAGCAGAATGCACGTCCCAAGGACAGGGGAGGGGGAGAGGAACCTCCAGTTGCCCCGGTCCAGCTTGTGGGTCAACTGGTGGTTATGTCCTCTCCATAACCCTCTACCCCTCCTATCGGCTCTTAGAACCTCACGTGCCCCCTCTTCTGCATTGTGCCCTGAGCGGTCAGCAAGGGGTTTCCCGAGCATGGTGTCAGCTCCCTTGGTGGCTGTCTCGCTACCCTGGAGGCAAATGCCATAGCAACAACACAGGCACATACAAGAGAAAATACAGAATAAGACAATGACTCCCCCATCAGTGATAATGTTTTCCATCAAGAGCCCCGTGATCCAAACCATTGATTTATTAAGTCCCCCAACCTGGGAGTCAGATCGTTCAGGGCCTTCCCTTGTGTTCCCATGTGACTTAATAAAGCTGACATAATAGACTCATCGATACGACCATGCAGCATTGTGTTTGGATAATGGTGCCTCCTTGCAAGACAGTGATGAAGTCTAAGGCACCCTGTTTTTGAGGACAGCTTTCCTCACTGAAGATCTGTTGGTGTTCAGTAAGGACAGGTTTTGTTGGCTTTCATTCAAGGCTTGCTGGGTGAATTTAGTTAAGGGCTTCTGTGTGTGCTAGAACATCCTCCAGGCCGACAGAGGGGAAAAAGCAGCCAAAGGATTGTACCAGTGGGAATCAGAACATGCCCACCTGGCCTCGAGGAGAGGGAGGTTGTCAGCTTTAGGACCTCTACCCACATGTGTTGGCTGGGGGAGGCGGCGCTGTCAAGAGTGAGGAGATGGATTGGGGGCACCATGTGGCAGCCCAGGACCCCCACCTCTTCTCCTTTTCCAGTGGCGCTTATTCTGTTCCAGGTATAATGCATTTTAGCAGGTCTGCCTTAGAGCAGGACCGTGAGATCCCAGGGGAGAGGGAGCAGGTCTCCCTCACCCAGGCATGTGAAGTCACTCACCCATCCTGGTGGGACATCTCATTGCGAATTCCAGTAGATGACACCTTGCCCACGTGTGATGGGGCTTAGTGTTCTCAGCAGCATAACATGTTGATCTGTAGGGAGCAGGGCAATGGTTATCTCCCTCGACTTCCATACCTTTATAGCATTGGGTGTCTGGGCAAGAGTCCCCAGTCTGGCCTATGGGGCAACAGGCCCTACTGGTTGATCATCCAAACGTATGAAAGCCTGGGACATTGCTTTAGTGACCCAGCCAGGGTGGTTTTACCTGGGAGTAATTTAATCTGCTGCTTTAATATTCATTTTTCCTTTTTATCAACCCTACTGCTGGCAGATTATAGGAGAGATGGGGACATCCATTCTAGGTCATGTTCTTTTGCCCAGTTTTGCAATATGACCCCCAATGGCTGTCTCGTCGATGAGGGTGTCTAAACACCATATTCCGTTTCTATAATCCCCTCATGGTGGCAGCCTGGTTTGTAGTGGCCAGGGAAGGCTGGGGTTAGGCCAGATATCATGTCCACACAAACCAGGCATAGGAAAAACCCTCACTAAGGGGGAGGGGGCAATATAATCAATTTGCCAATCTGCCACCAGTTGGGAATTCTGGTGAATGGCCCCAGGCTCCTTTGCCTTTTGCCTTTTGCATGACGTTTACAACACACGGGACATGCTGTTACTGCATTAACCAAGTCAACCTATTTCAGGGGCAAGGCAACATCCTTGGCAATATGCCAACCCACT